CCATTTTATCTATTGGGTAAAACTGAATTTTGGATGTTCCCAATTCTTGGACTGTGGCATGGTCAGCTTTGAGGGTAAAATGCAAGAAATTTGCATTAAAATCCAATTAACTGGACAGGGTAGGGAATTCCTGGTTAAGAATACCAACACCTCAATGCCTTGTGTAGCACAGGTTTAAAGCAAGACTATGTGATATTTTGGGTAAATAAAATCAATTGATGGGAACTGCATCAGCCAGCAATGATTATGGTCTATAAAGAATTGCACACCTGAAAAGCTGGTCCACAGAAAAATCCTTGCTCATCAAAGGTGGATGGAGTAACATTGAACATGGAGGCAGAATGTCTGAGCGTATCGAAAGAACGCTTTCAGGAGCTTCTGAACTGCCACATCAGAGCTGCAGCTCCAGGAGGATGCGAAGAGTCCAGTGATCACCCCTCTGTATAATGTAGAATCTGTCCCTGTCGAGGAGGTTTGAAGCTCAGCATGTAAGCTCAAGAATGGCTGTGCCGCTCGTATTTGTCATATAGCTGCCGAGCTGTTCAAGCATGGCAGGGATTTCATCGTGGGAGTATGGAGTCATGAGAAACTCCCCCTGACTGGCGCCAGTCTCCCATTTTGGAAAGGAAAAGGTGATTCTCTGGTGTGTTCCAAACATTGTGCAATGCTTTTTGCTTTACCTTCCAAACAAACTGTTCATGCTGGTAGTGCTTAAGTGTGTTAAGCCTGCCGTAAGGAATCTATGCCGTTTACATCTAGGGTTTATTACCTGGCCAGTCAACCACTGAGCAGATTTTTATCATTAGACCAATTTATTGAAAAGGCTCGAGTTTCAGCAGAGGAAGGACGAAGTGCATACAGCCTTTGTAGGTTTAAAAGCCGCCTTTGACTTTATTGATCGTTGCCCCCTTTGGCTGCTGGTGTGCCTGGCAAGCTCCTCAATCGTCTCGTAGAAATGCAGTGCCAAAGTGACAGCTGTGTCCGCTTAGGTGCTAGGATGTCCAGCTGGTTTGAATACAACTCAGGCACCCACCAAGGTGCCTGGCTGCCCCAGAATTGTTCAACACCATTATTGACCGACTAAGGAAGCCGTCATTAGCTGCATACGGAGGGTTGTACTGTCTGACTTCTGCATAGCAAGCTTGGAATATGCAGATGACGTGGCTATATTCGCATCCTCACGAACGAACCATATCAATGCCCTGAAAGTCATCAAATAAGCAAGTTTCTGGGTGTTACGCATGCTCTTTGGAAGCCTCTGGCCACATATCAACTCTTAAGATGCAAATCTATCAAGCAGAAGGGGCTTTTGTCCTTTTGTGTGGCTCTGAAACCTGGGCCACCACAGACACATAAATGCCCCAGCTGAATACTTTGGACATGAAACTACTGCGATGTATTGAAGGCGTATGGTGGTTTCATCACATTACGAACGAGTATGTCAGGCAACAGACCAGCCAGCCGCCGATATCTTCCCAAATGACTCAACACTGGCTCAGGTGGCTTGGCCATCTGGTCTGTATGCCAGAGTCCATACCAGACTTATGCATTTAATCCAATAAAAGCTGGATGTAGAAGACCTTGTGCCTCACGCTGGAGAGCGGTTGTAGCTTCCAGCCTCGTCTGCCTGAGTATAGAGCAGGCCGCAACGATGGCAGACCAGGCTCTTTGGAAACAGGTGATCCAAAGTGTGCACTCTGTGCTCTACGAACAGGCGAGATAACGAATGAACGTAGGGAATGGTGTTAAGGATGAAACTTTCCCTTTTTATGTACAGCGAGATTACACATTGCACTACACTGGGTCAAATGCTGTCCTTGTGGGGAACATGGTACTCAGGTACGTAAATAGTATAATGGCCAACAGGGGTCAGACTAGAGACTCTCGCCTACATGCTCGGGGTCTTACTGATCGCCATATTAGGGGTCGGGAAGGAATTTTCCTCCAGGGTAAATTGGCTGAGCCTCTGGAGGTTTTTCGCCTTCCTCCGCAGCATGGGGCAGGGATCACTAGCAGGAGGGTCTCTGCCGATTGAAGTCACTAAAACACAAGATTGGGGACTTCAACGGCAGAGTCCAGGGAAGGGTTTTGTGGCCTGCAGCATGCAGGGGGTCAGACCAGATGATCATAATGGTCCCTTCTGACCTTAAAGTCTATGAGTCTGAGTCTATGAGGTGGGTTCAACCAGAATGATCACATTTGTGTTTTAGTGGGGCAAAATTATGGTCCATTTTACTTCAAAGTTATTTAGTCAATGTCTGATTTCCCCCCCCCCCCCAAGCATTTCTAATGGCATTTTAAATGTTTTTTTTCCTTCAAGGGTTTGCCTGTTGCTTTAGAAAAGCACATTCTTGGTTTTGACACCGGAGGTAAGAGATTTTATTTTTTATATATGGTTTAACAGTGATGCTGCATTGGACTAAGTACATAGCTAATCTCTAGAAGTATATGATGTGTACAGTAAGAAGGCATCATTTTTCCAGAAGCCAAAAGGGATGTTTTTCTTACTTACAGGAACTTGTTTACAAAAGTTCTCTTCCACCTTCTGCTGGAGCATAAAAGTAGACGACTATATTGATGGAGTAGAACAGGGGTGGGCAAACTTTTTGGGCCAAGGGCCACATCTGGGTGGGGAAATTGTATGCAGGGCAGGGGGTTAGGGTGTGGGAGGGGGTGCGGTGTGCAGGAAGGGGCTTAGGGCAAGGGATTGGGGCAGAGGAGGGGCATGGGGTGTATGAGGGGGCTCAGGGCAGGGAGTTGGGATGCGAGGTGCAAGGAGGGGGCTTAGGCCAGTGAGTTGAGGAGCGGGGTGCAGGAGGGGTTCAGGCTCCAGCCCAGTGCCTCTTACCTAAAGCGGCTCCAGGGTGGAAGCGGTGCGCACCGGGCCAAGGCAGGCTCCCTGCCTGCCCTGTCCCTGACCCTACGTTGCTCCAGGAAGCGCTGCAGCCCCTGGGGAAGGGGGAGCAGAGGGCTCTGCATGCGCTGCCCTTGCCACGCCTTCAGGTACCTCCCCCGAAGCTCCCACTGGCCACGGTTCCCCGTTCCTGGTCAGTGGGAGCTGTGGGGGGCAGTGCCTGGAGGCATGGGCAATGCACGGAGCCCTCTGCCCCCTGCCTGGGAACTGCAGGGACTTGGTGCCGGCCGCTTCTGAGCGCAGCACGGGGCCCACAGCGCCATGGGGGGCAATCCTGCGGGCTGGATCTGGCCCGCAGCCCAGTTTGCCCACCTCTGGAGTAGAATAATATCTCAGGATAATGGTTATATGTTGCGGCCATGTAAAGGCTGACATATTTTATTGCAGGAGGGCTTTATCCTTTTAACAAGACACTGTCAAAACCTTGTTTCTCCTGGCAGAGGACTTGTGTTGATTTAATGGTTGCCAAAGGGACTAGTGGTGATCTGCTGTGTTTTGATTATTGGTTTGCAAGTAGGATGCTTTAGCCAGATGTAATAGTACAAACTGGTGTGCTCTCGTTTGAGTGAATAATGGCCAACTGTCTACAGTCTAGTCTAATCTGACTGGCACAGATATCCCTTTTACCATTAAACTAATTCATTTTCAGGTCTGCTGCAGTTCCTTTGTTCACTTAGTTCGTGCTCGGAGCTTTTCATACAACTGTAAATTGGTTTAGAAATTATTCTGGTCTGTCTCCATGTCTGTAAATTGAAAGTGCTTATTAACCATTAATCCATATCTCCTTTTGCCAATGAACTAGATGCTGTCCTTAATGAAGCTGCCCAAATTCTTCGATTGCTGCATATAGAGGAACTCCGAGAGCTGCAAACAAAAATTAATGAAGCCATCGTAGCAGTTCAGGCAATTATTGCTGATCCAAAGACAGACCACAGACTGGGGAAAGTTGGAAGATGAGCAAGTTAAGACTGTAGTTTCCTGTGTACTTAGTTCCTAATTGTACTAAGTACAACTCTGGCATGCATTTTGAAATGGAGATTTCTCTATTTTGAAAGAGAGCAAAGAGGAAATGGAATTCTGACTGGTCTAGTGAATTACCATCATTTTTCTTTAAATAAAGTTGGGGAAATAGCTAAACAGAACAATTTGTATCTATAAGTTGCTAAGTATAGTAGTCCTTCTCATTCCTTATCTTTGATTTTGTGTTTAAAAGGGCGTGTTATATAAAGATTTGTGGAATTCTGTGTTGCTATAGTCCTGCATTATGAAATCCTGGTTTTGGCACAATTACTACTACTCTGAACTCTGCTATGCAACAAAAACATTTAAAAACTAGGTCATATGGAAAATTCAAAACAAACGCTTTATTTATTACTGAAGTAACCTAGAAAAAGTGAGACATTACAGTTTAACAGGTATTTACGAACATGTATTGGTCAGTAATGGGTAGTTCTCTGGAGGCACTTAAGGACCATCAAGTTAGCATATTCTAATATAAATACTAAAAGACATGCATTGAGGCAGAGGGAAAGATATATCTAGAACTGTATGTTGGAAAATCTTTAATGCATTTGCCATTTCCCATGACAGTTTGGCATAATTTCCTAAATACTCAAAATCAGGGCTGTAGATTAATTGACCCAGGTAAGACATTGCATTAAAATCTTTCCATACACATTTAACTTTTTAGCTAAAAAAGAACCTATTGGTCAGATTGTCGATTTGTGTTTTAATTCCTTCCCATACAATAAAACAATGGATT